GTATGTAAATGTAAAATAACATACTCCTGAAACTGCAAAAAAATTCCCTGAGATCTGCGAGTGCCCTTCATCAATTTCATGTAAATGTGAAAAATCCGAAGAAAAAAATTTCCAGTGCTTGAACTCATGTTTATGTATTTCCAAAGAAAACTTAGAATAGAAAAAGTTAGATATGTATGTGGACAAGAAGGAGTAAAAAAATTAATCAAAAGACTGCAACATAAGAAAATAAAAAATTGGGTTTTGTCGTCTAACATTCCATTACTTTCACATTCATAGCCTTCATGTGCTAAGGAGGTGATGGAACCAAACATTGATGCAGACAAAAACATAATGGAAAAGGAAAGGTCGGATGATGACTACATATCTTTTCCGAGTAAACAGTCGTGGCAAATGCTGGTACAAAGCTCCAAAGCTCAACTTCTAGGAAAAGAATAATAAGAAAATATTAATTGGGTCACTACTTCTATTTATAAGTCATCTTTGTTAGAAAAAGTATCTAAATAAGAAATGTGGGCCAAGATTTCAACTGCCTCCACACCAGAAGAATAGAACTTTATCAATTCCCATGTCACTTCATCAAATTGGTAACTGAAGCCTCCTCGACACTTGTTGGAACCAGGAACAGAGATAGTTTCATCTGAACAATGCTGCAAGAGCTTCAATGCCAAGTTTTACGAGCAAACATGATTTCAAATTTCCAAATATGAAAATAACTACTCTATGAGAAGTCAAGTACAATTGTGTAGTTTCGGGATTGACAATTTGCATTTTGCTATAAATGTTCTAATTAATCAATCTATTTGATGATTTAATTGCCCAATAATTTATTTAATTGTTTTACAGGTTGCAGTGGGTGTAACAAATTTAGGATATACTGCACTGGAGTCTCAAAACGATAAGAATTACTATATTGAAGGCCTAAGCACTATCTCAAATTTAAAAAATAAAATGCCCAGTGAATAGTTTATTGTGTATTTACAACTGTAATATACATTATTTTCACTATGACAGGCTGATGTAAAATAGTATGGATACTTTTAAAAAAATCAATAAAATCCCGTGATTTAACCCTTCCAGGGCTATGGACGGATATATCCGTCAATCTTTGTTTACTTTCCTGGCTGAAAACGGATATATCCGTCCCGAGAAATTTTTTTTCTGGGATAAAGACGGATATATCCGTCCAAAAAGCGAATTGATACACAATGTTTATAATACGGTAATAAACATTACACTGCATTATAAATGGGTTATTTTGTTTTTGTGGTTGGCAATAATAATTGCCGCAGCTGTTTCGGCTATTTTGCACCATAGAGTGTGCGTAAATAAATATTGCTGTCACTTCACACATGGTTGTAAGTGAGTGATGTTTACATTTTGTGTTTTGTACTTTATTTTTATGTTATTGAGCTAAATTTACTAATGCAAACGATCTGAAAATTGAAGATGTTATTGAGATTAATAAAAGTATGTCTGAGAGGGGTTTTATACTTGGCAGGGAAAATAATAGTATGGAATGTGATGGATATGATGAACCTGAAGAACAGTCTTTACGTAGTGGAAGTCTTGGCGGGGAATGGGATTGAGGACATGGGAGCAAAACTGAGTGGTTTAGATTTACTTTAGAATGATAGATACATTTTTATGGATAAAAAATAAAACAAGGGAAGGAATAGCCTAAGGTTGACGGATATATCCGTCTACCGCCCACAAGAATACTCAAGATTATTGGCAGTGTTCATATTTTGTGATTATCACTGAGGGCGGCAGACGGATATATCCGTCCACCTTATGTTTTTTGTGGGCCAAAGACGGATATATCCGTCAAATCAAATTTTATTTTCTTCATAACTTTTGTATAGTTCAGCCCTAAGGAAAATCTTTTTATGATGCATGAATTATTTCAAGTGAAATAAATACAAAGCACAACCACTTTAGTTTTTAATTTTTGGCAAAAAATAGTTAAGCTCCAGCCCTTCATTTAATTTAGCCCTCTGGAAGGGTTAAGCGAAATGTTGAAATTTAAACATAAAATCTAGTCTGGTCCATCCCTAATACATTTTAATACATTGTTTTCTTTCACACTCTCTCATTGCTTACGGTTTTGATCAAGATCGAATGCCAAACTACATCTTGTTAATAATATTTTTTTCTTTTAATTCATTGTAATAGTACAAATGTTTTGACAAAGCAAATGGTTCAAACTTTTAAAAATATCACAAATAAAATTAACATTTAATAGCAACAAATAAGTAGCATCCGTTTTATAATGAATATTATTAAGATACTTGGGAATCTAAGGCGAAAACTTCACAAAAAGACTTAGTCTAAACGCAGAATTTATAAGAAGAGAAGAGATCATAGCGGCCAACAAAAGAGAAACCTGAGGAACACAGGCGATGCTGACTGCGGGAAGAGAAATAGTTGAGATTGTTAGTTATTTCATTTCATATAATAGCATTACACCAATCTGCACATGCTAAATTGGGCCATGAGTTATACACAACATGCAGTGTGTTCTAGTTGTAGATTTTGAATTAATAAATGGTCATGCAATATGTTGATCGTTTTATGATCTCAAAATGAGAAAATGTTATAAGCCAAAAACTACAAAGAACATTCACATTCATATACAGTTGGTAAATGTTTACGACTATATTTATACAAATCAGTACGGTATTGAAGTGGAAATTTTCATTTTTGGTACCTAATACAAATTTTTAGTGCTAATAATAATAATATCATCAATAAACTAAGTCTGTGATCAACTTTTGTTTAAGTTTTATAAGTAGCCTATAAGTAATATTTAGTCTGATTCTGTTAAGATGTTTGTAAAATTTATCCAAACTAAGTATACAAATAAAAAATAATGTTGAACGTATTTATTGAAATGAAAACATCTTATCTGATGGTATAGAACTAATTCAGTAAGTTAAAAGTTTTAACCCTGACAAATTACCCTGTTTATGATTTACTACTAGAAATACAAAACATTGATCTAGTAAAGCAGTTTAATACTAACTATTCATATATTTATATTTAACAAATGAAATTGTTATAATTTACGAATTTATATTTTTAATTGTGTTTAAAACTTGGTTCAGTGTTAATACTCTAGCTTCAACAACCTGATATACACTACTGACTGCACCTAACCTGAGGTACTGACTGCACTAAGTATTTACCAACTTTAACTGAGACTAACCAGTGGCTTTATACATTGTTCAAATGAGTATTGAGATTGAAATATCGACAAAATAATATCACCTTTTGTAGCAGCTTGCAATCTAATTAAAGGTCCTTGAAATTTAAATAACCAAGCTAGTTGACCTTTTCAAAAGTATTAGTTGGTAACTGTGTTTTAATAACTCATTTTTAGACTCTTTCTTAAAACAAATCCAACGCAAGACATTTTAGTATTATATTCATTCTGGCAAAACCTAGTATTTTATTAGTATCATACACTCAATTAGTCTACTGAAAATCTCATCAGGTTGCTAATGTTTGATCAGTCTATGAAAGAACTGAAATTTCAAATTAATGCTAAGCCTATTTTGTTCATATAGAAGAAACTTTTTTGAATACTTCCTTAAGCTACGTTACCACAAGTATAACCAAAACGTAAAATGGCTAATTCAAGAGAAAAAACACCATAAATTGGCCCTTTTCGCCATAATAATCTACCTAACTTATCACAAATGGAGTCAATTTTGTCAATAAAATCATTTTAAAATCTCAATTAAAAAACAAACTAGTAAAATCTAAAATAATATCTAAAACTTAAAGATAAAATTAATCACAACTGGTTTAGTTGTTATTTTGTAATGCTTGTTAATGGATTATCACACTAAAAAAAAATGTGGTTTAGTCTCAATATACACATCAAATACATATAAAAGTTAAACTACAACACATGAAATACTTAGTGCCAGCAAACACAGAACACAACCAAAACACCAAATTGCTATACAATAGAGAAAGCTCAACATGTGATATAATTTACAACACTATTTTTATAAGAAGAGAACAATATCTTCAGCTCAACACAAACAATAAATCCAAACAACATTAATGATTTAACAACTGATGAGAAAGTTATATGTAGCTGCATTTTGAATTAATTTAAATTTTCAAAAATATATTTTACAAGCAGGTAATTTCTCATTGCAAACACGAATAGGGCAAAAATTAGTTATTTCTATTTGGAAAATATTACTTTGAGCTGAAGTTTTTAGAGTTCAATAACTTCATGGAAGCATGTAACAATAACAATTGCAATATTTTAAAAGTGAATAAGGTTTCAATAGTTTTTTATTTTTTTTTTTTTTTGTATATAGGCCTAAAATATAAATAATTACAAAACTTGTATCAGAGTTCAAGGAATTTGTAAATGAATAAAAACAACATAAAACATCATGATGACAAGGTGCACCAAAAGTGTGACAAAATATTGTAGGCGGCCAATTTGGCACCATAACTCTGGTTAAGCAAAGATTTGGCCAAATAAACCGAGAGAAATTCCTCTCCGAGAATTTCTCTGAACGAAGAAGTTCATGGACAGACTGCTCGGAGGGAGTCTATCCCCGACCCGCAGCGCGACTGTATGCTCGTCCCAGTAGGCCTGTATCGATGTCCGTATGTGTTTTTGTAACAGTATTATTTTTTGTTTAAATGTCTACGTGTCGTGTTCGTGTTTTGTGTAAACTATAGAACCACGACAAAGCCATTTTGGTGAATATACTTCACTAGTGCTCAGCTGATGATGACACAAATATGTTGAAACATGTCCTGGAATTCACCATTTGGAATTTTGAACGTTTGCTGAATTGACGTTAGTAATATGACTTACAATAATTGTCTCCAGCTCAGGGGCTGAACAATGCATTTTAATCAAAGAACCCATAAAATATTGCTGGTACTGTTACATGCTTCGGGAAGAATAGTGTTGTGAAGTTTGTGAAAAGAGAAGGGCAAAGTAACGTTCATTGTTCAATTACCTGTAACGTCTTGTGATTCTCCCAATGTTAGATTGGCCACAATGGCATCCAAACCATGTTCTGGAACCTTGATCTGCACCCATGGTCCAGCCTCATACCTGTAAAAATGGTAATGTTGAGTAAAAAAGCATTGTAGTTAAAGGCAATAGGAAAAATTATAGGACTCAGATTGAATCTTCAAAAAATCAAGCTAAGCAACTAAATCAACCTAAGAAAATAACTGACTACAGTAAAATCTTAAGAGGCGGCAGGAGTCAAGTTCTAAATCGTCAATCTGCTACTCCTGCAATTGTATGTTCCGCAACCCGCACGGCTAGCGTCTGACCTTGAGCAGTACATTGTACAGTAGCTGTGCTGACAAACGGGCAGTGGCAGTGCCTACCTTTCGAAATGGTCTATACTGACTGAGGGTCGAATGAACCTGTCGTCTTTTTACACAAACATACTTATACTCAACCTACGATGCTACACTTATGTTGTTATGTAAACATCAAAAATATATATGGTATTTTACTTGAAAAGCTGTTGATTATTACTATTATCATTACTATATTATTTTGGTGAAACAAAACTGATCTAAATTTAAACATTTATGTTCATGCTAATATACAATTTACTTCATAGCATCAAATTAAATGCTGATCAATGTTATTTTTAATTCCCAACACTGTATACTGTATATAACAGGAAAAGTAGAAAACAGTTTTTTTAATCTCCTGAAATGTTTGATATTTTGTGGTTATAAGGTTTGTAAATTAAGGTATAGACTATAGTGGAGAAAACATTAAAACGTTTACTTTGAAATAGTAATTTTAAACATTTACAACAATTCGATTTACAACAATTGATACAGAACAATAATACAATACTGAACAATAAACAAGTACAATAATTCCAGCTTTTTCATAGTTTTACAACAACCATTTTCATAGTTTTACAAGTTTACTCTGTTTTTTCTGCCTTCTTTTCTTTAGATTTTGTCTGAGCCTCTACTATATACGAAGGATTCCTTATGGGCATAGACCGGGAATGCCGAGGGTCGATGATTTCGGGCAGTATGCAATTCATGTAGAATTTTTTTAGTTTTGGCAACATTTCTTCCTGCCAAAACTGTTCATCCCGTTCTATTGTTTCAGTTTTTATTCCCTGTGGTGTCCATAGGCAAAATACGCACATTCTTCTCTTCGTGACTTGAAGTTGGCCTTGAACTTGATAATAAAAGTGGTGTTTTTTCTTTATATCACCAATTTTCCCATCCTTAGTGACTGCCCAAAAGGTACATTTCTGCTTTCTGATAGCCTCGTCAAGTGTCATATCTTTAGCAGAAGATGGACATTTAATTTCAACAGTTCCATCTTCATTCAGAAGGCCATGGGGACTTGCACCGAGATAGGGGTTGTCGCGGTCTATGAAAAGGCCGCATTTACTTATCTTTTGACCTAACACGTTTTCGAGTTCTTGTCGAGCCACTTCTTCATTTTTCCTACCATAGGCCATGGCCTCACAATCAAAAACGGTGTACAAGATTTGTTTTACGATTTTTTCACAACCCGTTGTTGCTCTCATATTGCAAACACGCCCGAAGTTCGAAGCTGTCAAAAGATTTCGGCGAATCTCTAGCCACTCATTTGAATCGCTTTGTTCCACCGTTTCTCTTTCAATTCTTTTGAATTCTGCTTCAGACTTTTGTAAGGTTGCTAAAAAATCACTTTTTTCTTTTTCCATAGTATTTTCATCAATATCGGGCCGTTGTGCTTCAATACCGTAGTCTTTTCCATCATCAATTTTTTCCCGATCAAATAGTGTTTTCCTGCACCTTTTTCTTTGTCTTTGGCTGTCCACCTTCTTCTTCCTCTTCATTGCCACACTTTTTGCAAATATCCCTGGACTAGCACCGTACATTTGTTTGTGCAGCTTGTAGTGTGCTAGTCCAGAGTTGTGTTGAATGACAGCAGCTGTACATCTAGTCTGATATGAACCACTAGCAGCAAAGTTTATTCTTTTGCCGCCAATAAATTTTGCAACAATTGAATTGAAATGTTCTACATAGTTGCTAGTGACGTCAGCAAGTAAGCTGCGGCTGTTGCGGCTAACATCTCTGAACACATCAGTGATCAATGGGTAAAGACCCACTGTGACAAGATCAGGTACTAAATTGTCATCTGGCCGGGCAGTAGTGGGGTCCAGCTCGCAAAAATACCCCCTCTCAGCACATTTTTTGTGTTCGCCGAACACGTGACTTGGTATATTCAATATATCCATTCTGAGATTTTCGATTGCTTTACTTGATTCCTCTTCATTGATTGCACCATTCCTTTTCTTCTTCTTCGAAGGATAAAACTTCAAGTGACCCATTTGATAGGTTGCTGAAAATTTCCTAGCGGACTTTGGGTAAATGAACTGCAGACCGTCACCAATATTTCAGCTTAGCCACTATTTTATATCTACTAACTACTGTAGGCTATTAGCACTAGGCACTGTAGATAAGCACTAGTTAGAAAAGAACCAATAATCGCATGCGAAAAGCGAAGTGTTGCAAAACGGAATGTAAACTAATATTCGCTACTGGGACTGGACGACTCTACTGTTTTATTAAAAAATGCAGTATCAGAATGGTGAGCGTGCCGCATAATATTCTGTATTTAGCAATTCGAAGGTGGTGCTATCCGGCGGGAAAACGCTAAACTACCACCGCACCCCGTGAGACCCGCAACACACGTCGACACAGTTGAAATTGCAAGCTGTTTTATAAATTACTAGATAAAATATTATAAACGACAATTTGTAAAATATGGTATTGTACTTTCAACGGAAATATGTTGTAGTTTTTATAGAAACTAGTTTTAACCTCCTAAGTTGAGAAATAAATTTTGTATGATGGAATTAGTTTCAGTGAAATAACCTAAATCCTTATGGTAAAATCAACTTTGTAATTCCGAAATAAAAAATTAAAAAAAAATTTTTTTGACACGTGTGACATATCAAATTGTACGTAAGATAAAACCTCACAATAGTACAATAAACATTTTTGGATAATATGACGATTTCGTGTAGTAGCATTGGTTTTTTATCCTTGGTCCATGCTAAACTGAGGAGCAGAGCGGTGAGCGGCCCGGTTCACTCCCGCCGGCTCTTAAAATATACAGGGTTCCAGCAAACTTTCTGCTGTCCTTTAAAGGTAAGATTCTTTGTACAAAGACAAACAAAATATCATATTAAAAGTGGCTAAAACTCAACAGCTACCCAAACTGAGGTCAATTGTTTTTTTTTTTTTTTTTTTTTTTTTTTTTTTGTAGTATGTAGTAAATTTAAATGTAGGTCATTAACTCACTAGGCAAAGACCATTTTGAAATTTCTTTTGTAATGTAGTTTCAGAAATATGGCCATTTAAAATCTTTAAACTTAAATAGTGGCCTATAAACTACATAAAATAAGGGAGAAAAGTTATTTTTAAGATACTTTGTACTTAACAATTTCAAATCAAATCAATCAAATCAAATCATTGTTTATTTGTTACAAACAAATAACATTTATTGAATATAATCAAAAATAGGCTATAAATACATTTCTACGGCCATTGGTTACAGATTTACCTTGTATACATGAGATTATCATATTATGTATTACTATTTCTAGGATTTTAAATTCAGCTCAACAGAACCGTAAATAATAAACAAAAAATTGAAATACAACTTCATTTTGCATTAAATAAATATGAGACAGGCACATGCCACTAAACATGAAAACTAATGCTTAAAACTAATGATGCTAATGCTAATGCTAATGAAACTATGTGCTTGAGTTTGAACCAGCACATTGTTCACAGTGTTAACAATGTAATAAATCAAATTTTCAAAGTCTTATTTCTCATGGAGACTAGTTTCAAATAGGCCTACAAGCGATGCTCAATATGGCCACTGTCAATTTCATTGCACAGTGTGAAGCAATCCGCTAACACAAGACACAGTGCCAGATTTACCATTGGGCTGACTAGGCACGACCTCAAGCTAAAGGGTGTTGTAGCTTTTTGTACTAAAACAATTTCTTATAACAAATATTTAATGATTTGCCACGATCGCAGGTGTCAATAATGATGTACCCGTGTTTGCTGGCGGTGTTCCTCATTTCCTAGTGATTGTGGTCAAGTTCTTTTTAAGGGGCAGGGGATGCTCTGGTTAATTTGACCTAGTGTCGCAAGGACCCTAAATTCAGCACTGACAAGACAGATAGAATATACTATGAATAAAGATCCAACTTATTTTGCCTATTGCACTCTAGATTTATCAATGCAATACGTCTTAGCGTTTGGGGTTTACATGAAACATTTTTTGCCACCTGTTAAAGTGGATGAGGTATAAAATCCAAAATTAATAATACAGAGTACATTAAAATATAAAAATTGATAAATCCGATTGTAAAGATCTCCGATCGAGTTTGAAATTCCAAAAAGTATTCCCGTGAATAAAATGTAAAACAAAGCTAGAAATGTGATAGAATAAAAAGCTTGCTGCATTGTAAATTATATTTCCTTCTGTAGGGTTGTCAGGGATATCCCTACACTCGGCGTCCATCTTGCCAAATGTTTGCCTATTGTTCAACTGCGCTAAAAATAGAAGAGCTGGATCAAGGTCAATGCCCCCCATCCCTCACCCTTGTGTCGCATCAGGTGTAACGAGTTATTTTTCCTAGGGGGGTAATTATTTGCTATGTGGCCGCGCACCGATTGTTGAGGTAAGCAAGCGGCGGCGGCGAACCTGGCTAGCGCCCTTTGACCCGGCTTATCAGTTCGGATAAGCTTGGGTATCCCGGGACTACTGGATAGCCGAGAAGGACATTCTAGTGGTGGATCCCGTACAGTGAAGAAGGCAGTGTTGGTGTCCGGTGGAGACGGACGGCGTACGTGGGTGGTACAGAGAAGTGTACGGTGTCGTGTGATATTGGTGCTCAAGGAGTGAGTGTCGGCATTCAAGTTGGGTAGTGAGTCAGTAACCCACTTGTGGTGAGTGGACGACGTTTTATTATATTTTGGTTTAAGAGAGTTAGAGAGTTAGAGTTGTAACCGTGCTGGTCAAAGCCTGTCAGTAGTTAGGATTTATAT